TTCAGCTTTATGAATGAATATGCCTGTTGTATTTCCGGCAAAACGAGCAGAAATTCAGAAGTGGCCTGCTCCCTCGAGTTCTTTATGAAGAACAGAAAGTCCATGCTTTTCTCTGCTTTTCAGCCATTCTCTTTGCCATGTACTTTGTCTTCGTTTTTTTTTTTTTTTTGGACGTCACAAGCCGCCTGCCACAAAGAAAACTATTTTGTCCTCAGAATCCATATTTTTATGAATGGCGCGAAATGTAATGCTTTCGTCAGAGTTTGTAAAATCGTAGTAAATTCGTGTCATGTGTGACTGCCTCCTTACCATTTTCGGATAAACTCAATCGTGACGTGCCAGAGCTCACGATGTTCCGACCTTCAGAATCGCACCGTGTACGCCCGCCTTTAACCAGACTGAACATCTTGAGCCTCGAGCAACACGTAACACTTCATCCACCATGATGTTTGTGTTCTGATCAGACAACAAGCCACAGGCTGCAAGATGTTTCATAAGTTGCTTGGTTTCTGTGTCTGTTCTGTCAGTCAGATAAGTCCCGCCCACAGTACAATCTCATTGGTCCCTCTCGCTCCCCATATCTGCATATTAAATAACACACACACTCTGATTGGCTGAGATTTCATTGCTTCATGCTACACTTTCACTTTCAGTTTGAAGAAATCAAATGCTCTTGACTGGAAACTGTTTCATCGTTAAAACATGAAGCAGGGAGTCTTCAAATGAATACTGTTGCAATCCACAGAATAGTTACTTCTAAATTATTCTTTTTTTACTTTTCTCAATGGTTTGCATTGCTATTTATTTGTTTATTAACAGAGTTATTATAGTTAAGTGAAACTAAAATTAAAACCTACTTGGAATAAAATAAATGTTAACTGAAATAAAAAATATTTCAGGTGGTTGACAAGGCAACATTTCTCATTTTCATTTATTTTTAACTTGATGTACTCAAATAACTAAAACTGTAGTAAAAATAAAAAACCTATAAAAAACACAAAAAATTACAACACAACAAAATTACTAAAACTTTAACAAAAATTAAAATGAAAATAGAAAATATAAAAATAAAAACTGATTCAAAATGTTAATAAAAACTATAATAGTATCAATGATACTAAAATTATTTATTTAGAACAATTTATTTATTTTTCATTCATTTAATTATATGATATATATTGTAATTTTTCATATTAAAATAAAATGTTGTTTCATGTTGTCTTTAAACAGCTCTTAAACAGACTTTTCTCAATGGTTGGAATTGCTTTAATTAATTTATTATGAATGTATTAATGCGTTCATTTGTGTGTTTATATTTGTTCAGAACTCTTCCCAACTCCTGCATGGAGAACATCGTGGCCAATATCTGCAAATACAACATCCAGTCGCTGCTGGTGATTGGTGGATTTGAGGTACGAAGTGTGTGAGTGTGTGAGAGTGTGTGTCTCTGTGTGTGTGTGTGTGTCTCTGTGTGTGTGTGTGTGTGTGTGTGTGTGTGTGTGTGTGTGTGTGTGTGTGTCTCTGTGTGAGTGTGTGTGTGTGTGTGTCTCTGTGTGAGCGTGTGTGTGTCTCAGTGTGTGTGTGTGTGTGTGTGTGTGTGTGTGAGTGTCTCTGTGTGAGTGTGTGTGAGTGTCTTTGTGTGAGTGCGTGTGTGTGTCTCTGTGTGAGCGTGTGTGTGTCTCTGTGTGAGCGTGTGTGTGTCTCTGTGTGAGCGTGTGTGTGTCTCTGTGTGAGCGTGTGTGTGTCTCTGTGTGAGCGTGTGTGTGTCTCTGTGTGAGCGTGTGTGTGTCTCTGTGTGAGCGTGTGTGTGTCTCTGTGTGAGCGTGTGTGTGTCTCTGTGTGAGCGTGTGTGTGTCTCTGTGTGAGCGTGTGTGTGTCTCTGTGTGAGCGTGTGTGTGTCTCTGTGTGAGCGTGTGTGTGTCTCTGTGTGAGCGTGTGTGTGTCTCTGTGTGAGCGTGTGTGTGTCTCTGTGTGAGCGTGTGTGTGTCTCTGTGTGAGCGTGTGTGTGTCTCTGTGTGAGCGTGTGTGTGTCTCTGTGTGAGCGTGTGTGTGTCTCTGTGTGAGCGTGTGTGTGTCTCTGTGTGAGCGTGTGTGTGTCTCTGTGTGAGCGTGTGTGTGTCTCTGTGTGAGCGTGTGTGTGTCTCTGTGTGAGCGTGTGTGTGTCTCTGTGTGAGCGTGTGTGTGTCTCTGTGTGAGCGTGTGTGTGTCTCTGTGTGAGCGTGTGTGTGTCTCTGTGTGAGCGTGTGTGTGTCTCTGTGTGAGCGTGTGTGTGTCTCTGTGTGAGCGTGTGTGTGTCTCTGTGTGAGCGTGTGTGTGTCTCTGTGTGAGCGTGTGTGTGTCTCTGTGTGAGCGTGTGTGTGTCTCTGTGTGAGCGTGTGTGTGTCTCTGTGTGAGCGTGTGTGTGTCTCTGTGTGAGCGTGTGTGTGTCTCTGTGTGAGCGTGTGTGTGTCTCTGTGTGAGCGTGTGTGTGTCTCTGTGTGAGCGTGTGTGTGTCTCTGTGTGAGCGTGTGTGTGTCTCTGTGTGAGCGTGTGTGTGTCTCTGTGTGAGCGTGTGTGTGTCTCTGTGTGAGCGTGTGTGTGTCTCTGTGTGAGCGTGTGTGTGTCTCTGTGTGAGCGTGTGTGTGTCTCTGTGTGAGCGTGTGTGTGTCTCTGTGTGAGCGTGTGTGTGTCTCTGTGTGAGCGTGTGTGTGTCTCTGTGTGAGCGTGTGTGTGTCTCTGTGTGAGCGTGTGTGTGTCTCTGTGTGAGCGTGTGTGTGTCTCTGTGTGAGCGTGTGTGTGTCTCTGTGTGAGCGTGTGTGTGTCTCTGTGTGAGCGTGTGTGTGTCTCTGTGTGAGCGTGTGTGTGTCTCTGTGTGAGCGTGTGTGTGTCTCTGTGTGAGCGTGTGTGTGTCTCTGTGTGAGCGTGTGTGTGTCTCTGTGTGAGCGTGTGTGTGTCTCTGTGTGAGCGTGTGTGTGTCTCTGTGTGAGCGTGTGTGTGTCTCTGTGTGAGCGTGTGTGTGTCTCTGTGTGAGCGTGTGTGTGTCTCTGTGTGAGCGTGTGTGTGTCTCTGTGTGAGCGTGTGTGTGTCTCTGTGTGAGCGTGTGTGTGTCTCTGTGTGAGCGTGTGTGTGTCTCTGTGTGAGCGTGTGTGTGTCTCTGTGTGAGCGTGTGTGTGTCTCTGTGTGAGCGTGTGTGTGTCTCTGTGTGAGCGTGTGTGTGTCTCTGTGTGAGCGTGTGTGTGTCTCTGTGTGAGCGTGTGTGTGTCTCTGTGTGAGCGTGTGTGTGTCTCTGTGTGAGCGTGTGTGTGTCTCTGTGTGAGCGTGTGTGTGTCTCTGTGTGAGCGTGTGTGTGTCTCTGTGTGAGCGTGTGTGTGTCTCTGTGTGAGCGTGTGTGTGTCTCTGTGTGAGCGTGTGTGTGTCTCTGTGTGAGCGTGTGTGTGTCTCTGTGTGAGCGTGTGTGTGTCTCTGTGTGAGCGTGTGTGTGTCTCTGTGTGAGCGTGTGTGTGTCTCTGTGTGAGCGTGTGTGTGTCTCTGTGTGAGCGTGTGTGTGTCTCTGTGTGAGCGTGTGTGTGTCTCTGTGTGAGCGTGTGTGTGTCTCTGTGTGAGCGTGTGTGTGTCTCTGTGTGAGCGTGTGTGTGTCTCTGTGTGAGCGTGTGTGTGTCTCTGTGTGAGCGTGTGTGTGTCTCTGTGTGAGCGTGTGTGTGTCTCTGTGTGAGCGTGTGTGTGTCTCTGTGTGAGCGTGTGTGTGTCTCTGTGTGAGCGTGTGTGTGTCTCTGTGTGAGCGTGTGTGTGTCTCTGTGTGAGCGTGTGTGTGTCTCTGTGTGAGCGTGTGTGTGTCTCTGTGTGAGCGTGTGTGTGTCTCTGTGTGAGCGTGTGTGTGTCTCTGTGTGAGCGTGTGTGTGTCTCTGTGTGAGCGTGTGTGTGTCTCTGTGTGAGCGTGTGTGTGTCTCTGTGTGAGCGTGTGTGTGTCTCTGTGTGAGCGTGTGTGTGTCTCTGTGTGAGCGTGTGTGTGTCTCTGTGTGAGCGTGTGTGTGTCTCTGTGTGAGCGTGTGTGTGTCTCTGTGTGAGCGTGTGTGTGTCTCTGTGTGAGCGTGTGTGTGTCTCTGTGTGAGCGTGTGTGTGTCTCTGTGTGAGCGTGTGTGTGTCTCTGTGTGAGCGTGTGTGTGTCTCTGTGTGAGCGTGTGTGTGTCTCTGTGTGAGCGTGTGTGTGTCTCTGTGTGAGCGTGTGTGTGTCTCTGTGTGAGCGTGTGTGTGTCTCTGTGTGAGCGTGTGTGTGTCTCTGTGTGAGCGTGTGTGTGTCTCTGTGTGAGCGTGTGTGTGTCTCTGTGTGAGCGTGTGTGTGTCTCTGTGTGAGCGTGTGTGTGTCTCTGTGTGAGCGTGTGTGTGTCTCTGTGTGAGCGTGTGTGTGTCTCTGTGTGAGCGTGTGTGTGTCTCTGTGTGAGCGTGTGTGTGTCTCTGTGTGAGCGTGTGTGTGTCTCTGTGTGAGCGTGTGTGTGTCTCTGTGTGAGCGTGTGTGTGTCTCTGTGTGAGCGTGTGTGTGTCTCTGTGTGAGCGTGTGTGTGTCTCTGTGTGAGCGTGTGTGTGTCTCTGTGTGAGCGTGTGTGTGTCTCTGTGTGAGCGTGTGTGTGTCTCTGTGTGAGCGTGTGTGTGTCTCTGTGTGAGCGTGTGTGTGTCTCTGTGTGAGCGTGTGTGTGTCTCTGTGTGAGCGTGTGTGTGTCTCTGTGTGAGCGTGTGTGTGTCTCTGTGTGAGCGTGTGTGTGTCTCTGTGTGAGCGTGTGTGTGTCTCTGTGTGAGCGTGTGTGTGTCTCTGTGTGAGCGTGTGTGTGTCTCTGTGTGAGCGTGTGTGTGTCTCTGTGTGAGCGTGTGTGTGTCTCTGTGTGAGCGTGTGTGTGTCTCTGTGTGAGCGTGTGTGTGTCTCTGTGTGAGCGTGTGTGTGTCTCTGTGTGAGCGTGTGTGTGTCTCTGTGTGAGCGTGTGTGTGTCTCTGTGTGAGCGTGTGTGTGTCTCTGTGTGAGCGTGTGTGTGTCTCTGTGTGAGCGTGTGTGTGTCTCTGTGTGAGCGTGTGTGTGTCTCTGTGTGAGCGTGTGTGTGTCTCTGTGTGAGCGTGTGTGTGTCTCTGTGTGAGCGTGTGTGTGTCTCTGTGTGAGCGTGTGTGTGTCTCTGTGTGAGCGTGTGTGTGTCTCTGTGTGAGCGTGTGTGTGTCTCTGTGTGAGCGTGTGTGTGTCTCTGTGTGAGCGTGTGTGTGTCTCTGTGTGAGCGTGTGTGTGTCTCTGTGTGAGCGTGTGTGTGTCTCTGTGTGAGCGTGTGTGTGTCTCTGTGTGAGCGTGTGTGTGTCTCTGTGTGAGCGTGTGTGTGTCTCTGTGTGAGCGTGTGTGTGTCTCTGTGTGAGCGTGTGTGTGTCTCTGTGTGAGCGTGTGTGTGTCTCTGTGTGAGCGTGTGTGTGTCTCTGTGTGAGCGTGTGTGTGTCTCTGTGTGAGCGTGTGTGTGTCTCTGTGTGAGCGTGTGTGTGTCTCTGTGTGAGCGTGTGTGTGTCTCTGTGTGAGCGTGTGTGTGTCTCTGTGTGAGCGTGTGTGTGTCTCTGTGTGAGCGTGTGTGTGTCTCTGTGTGAGCGTGTGTGTGTCTCTGTGTGAGCGTGTGTGTGTCTCTGTGTGAGCGTGTGTGTGTCTCTGTGTGAGCGTGTGTGTGTCTCTGTGTGAGCGTGTGTGTGTCTCTGTGTGAGCGTGTGTGTGTCTCTGTGTGAGCGTGTGTGTGTCTCTGTGTGAGCGTGTGTGTGTCTCTGTGTGAGCGTGTGTGTGTCTCTGTGTGAGCGTGTGTGTGTCTCTGTGTGAGCGTGTGTGTGTCTCTGTGTGAGCGTGTGTGTGTCTCTGTGTGAGCGTGTGTGTGTCTCTGTGTGAGCGTGTGTGTGTCTCTGTGTGAGCGTGTGTGTGTCTCTGTGTGAGCGTGTGTGTGTCTCTGTGTGAGCGTGTGTGTGTCTCTGTGTGAGCGTGTGTGTGTCTCTGTGTGAGCGTGTGTGTGTCTCTGTGTGAGCGTGTGTGTGTCTCTGTGTGAGCGTGTGTGTGTCTCTGTGTGAGCGTGTGTGTGTCTCTGTGTGAGCGTGTGTGTGTCTCTGTGTGAGCGTGTGTGTGTCTCTGTGTGAGCGTGTGTGTGTCTCTGTGTGAGCGTGTGTGTGTCTCTGTGTGAGCGTGTGTGTGTCTCTGTGTGAGCGTGTGTGTGTCTCTGTGTGAGCGTGTGTGTGTCTCTGTGTGAGCGTGTGTGTGTCTCTGTGTGAGCGTGTGTGTGTCTCTGTGTGAGCGTGTGTGTGTCTCTGTGTGAGCGTGTGTGTGTCTCTGTGTGAGCGTGTGTGTGTCTCTGTGTGAGCGTGTGTGTGTCTCTGTGTGAGCGTGTGTGTGTCTCTGTGTGAGCGTGTGTGTGTCTCTGTGTGAGCGTGTGTGTGTCTCTGTGTGAGCGTGTGTGTGTCTCTGTGTGAGCGTGTGTGTGTCTCTGTGTGAGCGTGTGTGTGTCTCTGTGTGAGTGTGTGTGTGTGTGTCTGTGTGTGTGAGTCTCTGTGTGAGTGTGTGTGAGTGTCTTTGTGTGAGTGCGTGTGTGTGTCTCTGTGTGAGTGTGTGTGTGTGTGTGTCTCTGTGTGAGCGTGTGTGTGAGGAGTTCTGCAGCTGGTTGAGGCTCGAGGCCGCTATGATGAACTGTGTATCGCTATGTGTGTGGTTCCCGCCACCATCAGCAACAACGTGCCGGGCACAGACTTCAGTTTGGGAGCAGACACAGCCGTGAACGCCGCCATGGAGGTGAGATACGGCTGATCACAGGTCAGTCCTGAGTCTGAAATAGGGATGTAATGGTATGAAAATTTCTTATCACGGTTATAGTGTCCTGTATATTGTTAAAATGTGCTGGAAATTTTCAAAAACTTCTGACACATAAATCACTTCACCAAGTTTCATATTTAAAATCAACAAACAATAAATAAAATTACTTTGTGTTTGCATAAACACTAAAACAGTAACATTGCCAATGATGTCCAGATATTAAAGGCACAATATGTAAGATTTTTTTATTAAAATATCCAAAAACCACTAGAACAGTGTTATATATTTTGCTGACTTGTGATGATTTCTGCCCGAGCCCCGTCGGATTGCATCGGCTGTGCGGATGGAGACCACAACTCCCATGATTCCACACTCAGTCACGGGTCATCAAACTACGCCTTTGTCTCTTTGTTTGTTTTGAATACGCGCCCTCTAGCGGTGAAAATTACATATTGTGTCTTTAAATGACAACATGACTGACAACAGTTTTTCTAATAGCATGTTCAAAGTGTTTAAATAAAACTTTGAAAAAGTTTCATAAAGAGGTAAACCTCACATTTCAGCCTTTAAATAAAGAAAAGGATTAAGTGAAAATGATAATTGATTAATAAATGATTATAGGTATTTTATCTGCTCCATAAATAATTCTAGATAACTTATCTGAATTGTTTAAATGTGTAGAATCCACATGCGCTTGTTTTTCATCAACCGGTCAAAATTTACAGCAGGGCATGAAAATTCGGTCCGTTTTTTGGCCAGACAGAAACTGCTGCACACAAGCTGAATATAAATATAAGTCTCTGTAACTCCACTCTCTGATCTCCCTTAATCTGCTGCACAAAGCAGCATTGTGATTAAAACACTACTTTATTAGGTTTTACATGGAGTGAAGATGAAAACAAAATGTGACGTGACATGTGGCCAAGTATGGTGACCCATACTCAGAATTAGTGCTCTGCATTTAACCCATCCAAAGTGCACACACACAGCAGTGAACACACACACACCGTGAACACACACCCGGAGCAGTGGGCAGCCATTTATGCTGCGGCGCCCGGGGAGCAGTTGGGGGTTCGGTGCCTTGCTCAAGGGCACCTCAGTCGTGGTATTGAAGGTGGGAGAGAGCGCTGTACATTCACTCCCCCCACCCACAATCCCTGCCGGTACGAGACTCGAACCCACAACCTTTGGGTTACAAGTCCGACTCTCTGACCATTAGGCCACGACTTCCACCACTTTTCACAAAATGCCATTGAATCTGTTCTGAAGACGGTCAGAACCTGCCAGAATTAGTTTACATTTACATGTAGTCATTTAGCAGATGCTTTTATCCAAAGCGACTTTTGTATAATTCCCTTAGCACTCTTTTAAAACCTCCCAGCTTTTCCTCTGTGTTTTCACTCAAAACGAAACTCCTCTGCTGCTGTGCGCTCCTGAGACTGTTACTTAAAACTGTGCTTTATGCTGGACGGTAATCAAATACGGTTTTAATGATAATTAAAATATGAAACGGTAATACTAACTGTGGGGAATTTTATCATGATTTATCATCAAACCAGTATTCATTACATCCCTAGTCTGAAATCAGCTTTCTCTCTGTCTGTTTGCTCAGAGCTGTGATAAAATCAAGCAGTCTGCATCTGGAACCAAACGCCGCGTCTTCATCGTGGAGACCATGGGCGGATACTGCGGTTACCTAGCAACCACCACCGGCATCGCCGTGGGAGCAGACGCCGTCTACATCTTTGAGGAGCCGTTCAACATCCACGAGCTGGAGGCAAGATCACAATCCCTGTCTCTTCTGCTCAGCAAGGCTGCATCAAAAATACTGTAAAAATTGTGAAATAATATTGTAATTTAAAACAGCTATTTTCTATGTGAATCTGTTAAACTGTAATTTATTTCTGTGCTCAAAGCTGTATTTTCAGCATCATTACTCCAGTCTTCAGTGTCACATGATCTTGATGAAATCATTCTAATATGCTGATTTGATGCTCAAGAAACATTTCTGATTATTATCAATGTTGAAAACAGTTGTGCTGCACAGTATTTTTGTGGAAGCCGTGATGCATTAAATTTTTCAGGATTCACAGATGAATAGAAAGTTCAAAAGAACAGCATTTATTTGAAATAGACAACTTTCGTAACATTCTAAATGTTTTTACCGTCACTTTTGATCAATTTAATGCATCACAGATTAATAAAAGTATTAATTTCTTTAGAAAAAATCAATGATTTCTGAAGGATCGTGTGACATTGAAGACTGGAGTAATGATGCTAAAAATTCCGCTTTGATCACAGAAATAAATTACAGTTTAACAGATATTCACATAGAAAACAGCTGTTGTAAATTACAATATTATTTTACAATTTTGCAGTATTTTTGATCAAATAAATGCAGCCTTGCTGAGCAGAAGAGACTTAATTAATAACCATAATTATTCCAAACTTCTGACCTGTAGTGTATATTATCATTTTAACCCCTTCCAGATTCTTTAGATGTTTGAATTGTATTCATAATGTTTGTTCATGTCATTTTATTGCTGTTTAAATGTGCTTTAAGTGGTTTTGATCAAGTTCAGCATATCAAATGTTTTAGAAATTCAGAGCTTTTAACCAGTTCTCACTGTTTCCTCTCAGACAAACGTGGAGCATCTGACAGAGAAAATGAAGAATGATATTCAGAGAGGACTAGTGTTGAGGTAAAGCATCACATGACACCTGATGCTGCAGTGTGTGTAATAATGAGTCTTGATTATTCTCTTCTGTCCTTTATTTTGCTGCGATTCACTGAAAGTTGTCTTCATTCGTCTTCTCTGCAGGAATGAGAAGTGTCACAAGCACTACACCACTGATTTCATCCACAATCTCTACTCCGCCGAGGGCAAAGGCGTCTTCGACTGCAGGGTCAATGTTCTGGGTCACCTGCAGCAGGTGAGACGCCGGTCTAGTGATCATGTGACCAGCGTCCCGACCAATCAGACGCTTCCGGTGGAATCATCATGTTGTTGGTTTGATGAATTTGAGTCCTTGTTTTCGTGTTGTTTTGTGTTTAGGGCGGCGTTCCCACTCCATTCGACAGGAATTTTGGCACTAAACTGGGAGTGAAGTCAGTTCTGTGGCTCACAGAGAAGATGAACAACACATACAGACAGGGTGAGACACACATTCACACCAGTGTTACTGTCAACTACAACTAAAACCATTACAAATCCTTTTTGTTAACTGAAATAAAGCAGAAATTAAATAGGAAAAAATGTAAATATTCAATTAAAAACAAACTTAAACAAAAACTAGGAATGTTACCTTGGCAAGTAACTAATATATAAAACAAGTTTAGGAACAAAAATGACTAAAGCTAAAACTGAAATAAATATAAAATGAAAGCTAAATAGAATTTTTAAAAAGTTATAAAAATGATAAAATTACATTATAAAAGTACTAAAACTGAAATTAATATAAATGAAAGCTAAATAGAAATATAAAAAAGGATAAAAATTATAAAAGCGCATAAGATTACTAGAAGTAAAACTGAAATAAATAACAAATTTTTTTCAAAATTATTACAAATGATAAAACCACATAACAAATGAACTAAAACTGAAAAATATATATAAATGAAAGCTAGACTTTTTTTTAATTAATAAAAATTACAAAGATTGAAATAAATATAAATTAAATCTAAATAGATGTATTAAAAAATAAATCTACTACTAGGTAAGGTAAGGTAAACTTTATTGTCCCACATGTGGGGACGTTTGTCTTGGGCCCATCACGCATGCTGCCGTCAACTCACAATTATCAACAAATACAGACAATAGCAACAAACAATAACACAGCAATAAGTAAACAAATAGATAAATATATACATAAACAAACCTGATACTGTATTTAAAAAAACAACAACAAAAACACTTAATTACAGCAAATTACAGCTCCATACTGCCACTGTTTAACAGCTTTATAGACACAGGAATGAATGAGTTTTTAAATCTATTCAATCTGCAACGAGGACCTCTAAACCTCCTCCCAGAGGGCAACAACTCAGACATGGGATGGATCTCAGACAATCTTATTAGCTTGTCTTAAAGTGGCCTGTTCATAAATAGTCTGCAACGATGTCTGTTCTTTAACTCCAATCATTTTCCAAGCAGCGTGAATCATCCGGAACAGTTTAGTTCAGATTACCAGACCGGACTGTGATGCTGTACCTGATTAAACTCAAGGACTGCCTGATAGAAGATTATCATAAAATTTTGATCAACACCATGAATTCTCAGACGACGTAAAAAGTGCAACTTTTGTTGTAACCTACCACAAAGATTATCTACATGGATATTCCATGTCAGTGAATTATCAAAAAAGACACCAAGATATTTATATGATGGTTTGATTGTGCCTGTGATCACCAACTCCTTTGTCTTATTGACATTCAGAGCTAGGTGGTTGTCCTCACACCAATTCACAAACCTTCCAATCTGAAAAATATTCAGACAAGTCCCCGTTCTTTTTCAATGAACTTAAGATTGCAGTGTCATCTGAGAATTTAATGATGTAATTATTAGAATAACACCTTCTACACTCATCCGTATGCAAACAACAACAAAACAAAACCGGTGAGCTGACAGAGCCTTGAGGGGCACCTGTGCTCAAAATTCTGGATTCAGACAGTGTTCCATTAACATTGACCTGCTGTATGCGATTGGATAAAAAATAATATTACCATTTTATAATAAAAGGGTGAACTTTAAAATCATTCAACCTCACAATTAAACGATACGGCTGCAGCATATTAAAATCTGAGCTAAAATCTACAAATAAAAGACGTGCATACGAGCTAGAATCCTCTAGATGCCTATTTATGAAATGTGTCATGGCTATAACAGCATCATCTGTACTTCTATTGCTCCTTTATGCAAATTGAAATGGGTCTGAAAGACAGCTGACCTCTGTTTTTACAAAGTTAATCATAATTTTCTCAAAAGACTTCATTACTACTGAAGTAAATGCCACTGGACGATAATCATTATTCTCCTTACAGGGACCCGGGATAGTGATAGACCTCGACAGATCGAGGGAACTGTATTTTAAATACTATGAAAGGGTAAAATAGGGATTTTTTGTGTGTGCATTTCTATAGTCAATCACATGCTCACAAGTTTTACTCATAAGCAATAGAAAAGAGTCTATTCTTTTTGGTGAATCACTTCAGAATGAATCTTAGAACCCTGATGATATTTATTATTATATGTTTTCTGAATAACTGTAACAATAGAAAAATGTTCCTTATTGATAAAACCTTAATTTCAAATGCATTTAAATGAATGGATTCGATATTATTAATATGAGTGATGATGAGTGAAGATCTGTTTGCTTGTGAATCGCAGGCCGTGTGTTTGCGAACGCTCCAGATACGGCTTGCGTGATCGGCATGAAGAAGAAAGTGATGTCGTTCAGTCCCGTCACCGAACTCAAAGCGCACACCGAGTTTGAGTAAGAGTCACGTGACTAAATATATCTCACCTCATGAATAATGAACGTCATCCGGGAGCAAGGGTAAATAAAAAACTGGGGCCGGTTGCATAAACTGTTTAGACTAGTCTTAAAAAGTTAGTCATCTAATTTAAAAGGGTAATTTTAGTCTTCTAAAAGAGTAATATTTGAGGTCAGAGATGTGTGAACGGTGAAGAAGAGAGAGAGAGAGGGCAAACATTTAGCATTTTAGCTCAGCATTGCCGTCTAATCAGCCAATATTGTCTTAAATAACCTGCATAGCACTTCATCTTTTATAACATGGGATTTAGACCAAATATATTCAATCTTGATTTTGTAAAATGTTGCAACAAGATGTTAAAAACGTTTTTTTTTGTGTGTGAAAAATTAGTTTTTTTGGACATATGTGACCCTGCAGCACAAAAGCAGTCTTAAGTCGCTGGGGTATATTTGTAGCAATAACCAACAA